GACGTTTCAAACCTCATAAAAAAATAATTGGGATTGGACAATATGCTTTTCCTATTAAAAAACAACAATATTTTTTTTTCTCAAAAAAGTTAGGGCAGTACGGTAATGAACGTACAGTGGAACCTTGAAAATCGAACGTACCAAATATAGAACGTTTCGAAAATAAGACCATTTTTTCGGACAAACTGTGTACCAAAAATTGAACGCGTTTCAAATTTCGGTCAACCGGGTACGGGACCTGTCCGCTGGCCCGCTCTCTCTGCGTCCCCGCGCAGGTGCCGTGAGCAGTCTAACTTTGTTTATGCTTGAGTGAACACTAACCTGCACTCTCATTCACACATTTTATGATTATTTAATTGTGTTTAGTGCTTGTGGGGCTGTGAAATAAGCTGCCATGGGCCCAAAGAAACTTGCTAGCAGTACCCCTGTGGTAAAGAAAGTGAGAAACACCATAGATGTGAAGAAGGAAATAATACAGAAGTATGAGATTGGTGTGAGACTTGTTGAGCTTGCCAGGTTGTACAGAGGGCTGTGGACAGTTATTTTGTGAGACAGAAACAGACGACTGTGGACAGTTATTTTGTGAGACAGAAACAGACGACTGTGGAGTTATTTTGTAAGACAGAAACAGACGACTGTGGAGTTATTTTGTGAGACAGAAACAGACGACTGTGGACAGTTATTTTGTGAGACAGAAACAGATGACTGTGGAGTTATTTTGTGAGACAAACAGATGACTGTGGACAGTTATTTTGTGTGAGACAAACAGATGACTGTGGAGTTATTTTGTGAGACAGAAACAAAGGACTGTAGACAGTTATTTTGCGAGACTGGGTCCAATGACTCTCAAGCTGGTCCTAGTGGCATTAAAATACAGAGAAGGGAAGCAACCCCAGAGAGGGCTTTGATACCTGAAGTCCTCATGGAGGGGGATTCTCCTTCCCAACACTAACCCCAACTCTCTCTCTCCTCCTCCCTATCTTCCAGATGCCATCACCAATCTTCAATAAAAGTAAGTAAAAATGTTATTTTATATTTTATATTATATGTATGTATTATTTATATGTATGTTATTTTATATGTATGTAAAACTGTAATTAATCTCTATAAAATGTATTTTTGTGTGTGAACATTTTGGGTTTCTGGAACGGATTAATTGTATTTCCATTATTTCTTATGGGAAATATTGATTCGAATTTCAGACTTTTCGTAATTAGAACTAGCTCCTGGAACGGATTAAGTTCAATTTTTGAGGTTCCACTGTATATATACGTTTGGACCGTTTACGGTTAAAGAAGGTGAGCCAGCCACTGCTGGCCTTAAATTCACTAACAGCAGCACTCGTTCCAGGCATTTTCTTTACGAGATCATATGTAACTTGCTTTACTGCAAATGATTGACTCCACAAAACTATATCCCGCTAACTGTTGTTGGTTGATCTACACCAACAACAACTTCTTCATATCTTCAATTATCTGTGATCTCTGTTTTGTTAGCATATTCACCCCTTTCACAACTTTAGCTTCCTTGATTTCTACTTTCTTTGCCGGAGGGAAAAGACTGTTGATTTCGACTTCCCACACATTTTGGGAAACCTGGGCTAAAAAAAAAAAAAACATCATTTTCATATTTTTTTACAATCCTTTCTTTAATTATATCGTGTTTTTTCTCAATTTTTTTCCCAAAAGGGGCTACCTGGGAAAACTTTTTTTGGGGCCCAGGGTGACCTTTTTTGGGCAAACACAACCCATAAAAAACCCAAAAAATTGTGAAATGTTTTGGATGAATGCCTCACCAACCATTGACAGACCCAATTTAAAGGGCACCCCCCGGGGGGGTGGGCCCCGTTTAAAAAACATGTGTTTTCCCCGAGAAAAGGGACCGAAATTAAAAAAAAAAATTCCCCAAAAAAAAGTGTCTAAAATTCCGAAAGTCCAATCCTGAAACGGGAAACCAGGGTTCTTTTGTATTTTAAAGGCTTTTTCCCCTCTATTCTCTTTATTACAATAAACGGGAAACACTACTGTATAAATTTTAAAAAAAACTAAAAATGTTAAAATTTGGGGGGGAAAAAAAAAAGTGACACAAAACAATAACAAAGATGGTTACAAAAAACCCCCCTACCATTATATTGTGCCCTCACAAGCGCCCAATTTTGTTTACTGAGGTGGTTTTGGGAAAAAACTCTTTTTTGTTAAGTGAGGAAGGCTGTAAAACAGACACTACCTTTAAAAAACTTTTAAAAATATACTAAAAAGTTAAAAATGGTGTAAAGGGACTTTTAAAAAAAACATTTAAAAGGGGATGACACAAACCCACTAAACCCGTAAAAGCATGCTCCCTTTCTTAACAAACCAACATAAACATACTACAAAATTGGGCCCGGTGGCCTGGTGGCTAAAGCCCCCCCACTTTACACACGGAGGGGCCGGGGTTTGATTCCCGGGAGGGGGAAACATTTCGACACGTTTTCCTTACACCTGTTTTCCTTTCAAAACCCAGCACAAATAGGTACCTGGGGGTTTTTGTCGACTGGTGTGGGGCACATCCTGGGGGGCCCAAAAATTTAAAGGGCCCCCCAAAGGAAAATAAGTTTTGACAGTCCCCCGAAGACGCACTTTACTTTCTTGGGGTTTTCCTGGGGGCTAAAAACCCCCCGGGGTTAAAAAAACCAACGAAATCTTAACTTATCTTTTTCTTTTCTGACCAGACCCACAATAACCAAATTCACCAAAAAACAAAGAGTAACTGCCTGTTGCTAAACCCGCAATATCAAAAACCTAAAGAAACTCCGAGAAACCCCATCTCCTAATTTGACCACAAACTGGACAAACACCACAGACAACCTACAGACCACTAAACCCCAAACCTTTCTCATAACTAATCTGGCAAACGGGGCCCCAAGACATTTCAAAGTTTAAACCTTTAGACACATAAGAACAGCAGTTAAACAAAATTAAGCAGCTATGAAAAAACATCAAAAATTGGGGAAAATGAGCCTGAAACATATAAAGATTTTTTTTTTTTTTTTTAACAAGTCGGCCCGTCTCAAAACCCGAGGCAGGGGGGTTACCCAAAAAAAAAAAGGGAAAAACCCCAAAAAAAAAAATACTTTTATCATCATTCAAAAACCTTTTTAAACCCCACTCCTAAAAAATCCTGTTTTTGCAGAGGGCTCCCGAAAACGACAGTTTAGGGAAAAACATACACATATAAAAATACACAACATATCCCTCCAAAACTCCAAAATCCCCAAACCCCTCCCCTTTTAAAGGGGGCGGCCAAATTTTTACCCCATTTCCAGGGCTCAATTTCCCACTAAATGAAAATAAACCCGGTTTTCCCGAATCCCCTTTACTAAATATTACCCCTCTACAAATCCAACCAAAATCGTCAGGTTCCCCCAAGTACCATTCGTCTCCATTCACTCCTATCTAACACGCTCACGCACGCTTCCTGGAAGTCCAAGCCCCTTGCCACAAAACCTCCTTTACCCCCTCTCTCCAACCCTTTCGAGGACGACCCCTACCCGCCTTCCTTCCCCTATAGATTTATATGCTTTCCATGTCATTCTACTTTGATCCATTCTCTCTAAATGACCAAACCACCTCAACAACCCCTCTTCTGCCCTCTGACTAATACTTTTATTAACTCCACACCTTTTCCTAATTTCCACACTCCGAATTTTCTGCATAATATTTACACCACACATTGCCCTTAAACAGGACATCTCCACTGCCTCCAACCATCTCCTCACTGCTGCATTTACCACCCAAGGTTCACACCCATATAAGAGTGTTGGTACTACTATACTTTCATACATTTCCTTCTTTGCCTCCATAGATAACATTTTTTGACTCCACATATACCTCAACGCACCACTCACCTTTTTTCCCTCATCAATTCTATGATTAACCTCATCCTTCATAAATCCATCTGCCGACACGTCAACTCCCAAGTATCTGAAAACATTCACTTCTTCCATACTCCTCCTCCCCAATTTGATATCCAATTTTTCTTTATCTAAATCATTTGACACCCTCATCACCTTACTCTTTTCTATGTTCACTTTCAACTTTCTACCTTTACACACATTCCCAAACTCATCCACTAACCTTAACAATTTTTCTTTAGAATCTCCCATAAGCACAGTATCATCAGCAAAAAGTAACTGTGTCAATTCCCATTTTGAATTTGATTCCCCAAAATTTAATCCCACCCCTCTCCCGAACACCCTAGCATTTACTTCCTTTACAACCCCATCTATAAATATATTAAACAACCATGGTGACATTACACATCCCTGTCTAAGACGTACTTTTACTGGGAAGTATTCTCCCTCTCTTCTACACACCCTAACCTGAGCCTCACTATCCTCATAAAAACTCTTTACAGCATTTAATAACTTACCACCTATTCCATATACTTGCAACATCTGCCACATTGCTCCTCTATCCACTCTATCATATGCCTTTTCTAAACCCATAAATGCAATAAAAA